TGGAGCCTTCGTTGCGCTCGATGATATTCTCAAAAAGCCAGTACAAAGCAGCCTGATCACGTTCCCCACGAACAAAGTCCACTAAGCATTCGATAGCCGCTAAGCGGACGTCAATGAAACGACCGGCGGCTGCGGCCTTGTAAAAGAGAGTAGGCTCAACAGGTAGGAAACTGAAGCGCTGGAGACGGCGAATAGCCAGTAGACAGGCCACGGTGACAGTGTTCTTGTAGCTAGGGATCTGTGATTCCAGATTCATGCAGCGTGCTACTTCTTCTACGACTGTGCGAGCTTCCGGCGGTAAAGAAGACACGGAGAGCACACCGCGCATTACGATGGCCGGTGTTAGAGTGTCTTTCATGGCCTTGATGATCTCTGCCCGGTAATAGCAGTCGGAGTAGGGATTGCGTGAATTATCATTGTAACGGTTTAATTCGACCAGAAAACTGAGCACATCACGAGGACAGACCTGCTGGATTCGGAGGGTAGCCACTGCGCGGACAATGGCCTTCTGTAGAAAGTAACTCTGCAAATGAGAAAAGTCGTTCTGACGAATCAGTCCACGGGCAATGGGAGAGGAGTAGAGTTGCCAAAAAAGCGGTAAGAGGACACTTGACGCGGAGGCCGAAGCATTGGGATTACCCCCGCCCCCCACACCGCCGGTACTTATAGACAGCTCGTTGGCCACGCGACACAAAGCGAAGCAGGCATCTGTACGAACACGGAAGTAGACACGCGAGTCGGCCACAATGTTTGAGAGGGCAACTCGCGTTTCTGCAGAGGCGAAATTGGCCAGCACACGGACAGCCTCAAGCTGGCCTAAACAGTCACGATCGTGGGTCAACATCAGGTGCCACATATAGTCCGCCTGATCAGTGTGGATGCTGCGAATGACCTGGAGATCCGGATCCAGCCGCAGCCACAAAAGAGGTGAATCGGCATCAATACGACCCAAATCCATTTCCACCTCGTCCCCATTGGAGAGCGGGATTTTCTTCTTTTTGTGCTTGCGGGACTTGGAGTGACAGGGCAGGTCACGAGAAGTGCGACCCTCCTCGAGTTTGAACGTGTGCAAAAAGGGACCATCTAGCTCCTGAAGCATGGCTGTCAACGTGCCGGTGTAGTTGAGGGTACTTCGAGACTGCAGGTCCTATAACATGCAAAGGAGGTGCAAGGGAATGTTCCTATCTGCAAAACTATAATGTACGTAAGACAATGGTAAGGTCCGAACAAAGGACAAAGCGATCTGCTACAGGATGTTTACGTCAAAGATAGTCAGAGTCCAAAATGTCTAACTGAAGGTACTTGAGTATCCTAAGCAATTTCGTTCGATATCGCATGGCGATAGAAAGTGGAGTTCCTGTCAGTACTGCCTGGTGGTAAGCAGAAGTAATCAAGAGAAAGTTTGAGGACAACCAATTACTCGTGAAATTACTGAAGAACACGCTTTAATCACGGTGGGCAACAGAAGATATTCTATTTCATGAAATATCAACTGAAATACTGAAATGCTCTTTTTTCTGATACAAACAAAATGTCTTATCGCACAGCCTAATGCCAAGATAGTTCAGTCACGTCAGAGTGTCTGCTTTTGGAAGAGCCTCTTCAAACAGCATACTCAGCAAAATTGGATACTGAGTGTCGATGCCCTAAGAATTTCAAATATATTTTAGAAAAAAAATGTCTCGTACTTGTTTGGTAAAACGTTACAATTTTTTAAATTGACGTTGTAACTTACCATACTAACAGCCTAGGTACTTGCTAAAA